CTCCTGGCCTCTGCTTTGTGCATTACTTACTCCTGACCCATGACCTCTGTACTTTACTTACTCCTGGCCCCTGTTCTCTGTGCATTACTTAATTCTGACCCCTGCTCTCTGTGCAGTACTTACTCCTGACCACTGACCTCTGTGCTTTACTTACTCCTGGCCTCTGCTCTGTGCATTACTTACTTCTGATCCCTTTTCTCTGTGCATTACTTACTCCTGGCCCCTGTTCTCTGTGCATTACATACTCCTGACCTCTGCTTTCTGTGCATTGCTTACTCTTGGCCTCTGCTCTGTGCATTACTTACTCCTGACCCCTGTTATCTGTGCATTATTTACTCCTGACCCCTGTTATCTGTGCATTACTTACTCCTGACCCCTGTTCTCTGTGTTTTACATACTCCTGGCCTCTGCTCTGTGCATTACTTACTCCTGACCCCTGTTCTTTGTGCGTTATTTACTCCTTACCTCTGCTCTGTTACTCCTGACCTTTGACCCCTGTGTTACATATTCTTGGCCCCTACACTATGTGTGTTACTTAGTCCTGATCTCTGTACTCTGTGCATTACTTGCTCTTGACATATGCAATCTGTGCATTACACACTCCTGACCCCTGCACCCTGTACATTGCACATTAATGACTCTTGCGCTCTGTGCGTTACACCCTTCTGACCTCTGCACTCTGTGTTTTACACACTCCTGACCCACAGCAGAGTAGGCTCAAGTTTTCTTCAACCACTCCCCTTTAACCCCCTCCCACTGTTACAACAATTTGGCCACACCCCCAATTCTTAGTGGCATGCTTACATGCCTACCTCTTGTTCTCAATTGTGTTCGGGTGGGTTAAAACAGAGGTGTGGTTTTGTGACTGTGTCTACAAATGGGGTGGTGGTATTGTCTATAAATGGGGGCGTTCTTATTGGGCCGTCCATGAATTTCATTTTGGAAGATAGCGGGGACAATGTAACTAATAGAGAGTACAGGAAGCTAGCAGCGCACAAGATTTCTGGCAGGATCAATGGGTATTTTTTTTCACTGATTGAACAGCTATAACAAAACATATATTTAACAGACCACATGGTGGAAAGAAGAGACGTTCATTGTTAGGGGGGTCACATATGAACTATAAGTAATACATTATCCGTAATAAGAGGGAATGCTAAAAAAAATAAATAAATAAAAGAGCATCTCTTCCTATAAGAAAAAGGTAATATATACCATACCAGGGCTCCTTTAAAGATCTGCATGTTCTCCAGATTTCCCTGAAAAAACAAAACAAAAAAAAAAACCTCAACGAATCAATAGAATAGGAATACACTGGAGTTGCATACTTCAATTTGAGCACTAGGGGGCGGTGTGAGACCTCAGGGTAACTTTTACTGATAGTTCTCCAAATAAAAATTCCTGCCTTATGAAGACTTCCTGTTAGTGATGGGCTGAAGTTCACCCCCGTGTTTGCTTCATGGTCGAACGTTCGAACCTAATGATTGTTCGAACCCAATGCAAGTCTATGGGACTCGAACTTGTAAATTCACAAGTGCCCATTTTGAAGGCTGATAGGCAAGTTATTGGCCATAAAAGTGGTGTGGGGACTCAGGGACTGCCCTGAGGGACAGGAATCTGTGAAAAAAAAAATTCAAAAAGTACCGTTTTAACCCCTCGCCTACCGGGCACTTATACCCCCTTCCTGCCCAGGCCAATTTTCAGCTTTCAGTGCTGTCAAAATTTGAATGACGATTGCGCGCGGTCATGCAACATTGTACCCATATGAAATTTAAATAATTTTTTCACATAAATAGAGCTTTCTTTTGGTGGTATTTAATTTGTTGCGCTATAAACAAAAAAAAAAAAGCAAAAAAAAAGTTTTCTCTGTTTCTATTATAAAAATTAGCATACAGGTACAGTTGCAAGAAAAAGTATGTGAACCCCTTGGGATTACGTGGAGTTTTGCATGAATTGGGCATAAAATGTGCTCTGAACGTCATCTAAGTCACAACAATAGAAGAACACAGTCTGCTGAACATAATACTACACAAACATTAGATGTTGCCATGGTTTAATTGCACATAACATGTAAACATTCACAGTGCAGGGAGGAAAAAGTATGTGAACCTTTGGACTTAATAACTGGTTGACCCTCCTTTGGCAGCAATAACCTCAACCAAACGTTTCCTGTAGTTGCAGATCAGACCTGCACAACGATCTGGAGTCATTTTGGACCACTCCTCTTCACAAAACTGTTTCAGTGTAGCAATATTCTTGGGATGTCTGGTGTGAATCGCTCTCTTAAGGTCATGCCACAGCATTTCAATGGGGTTGAGGTCAGGACTCTGACTGGGCCACTCCAGAAGGCGTATTCTGTGCTGTTGCCCCGCCATTGTTTTGTTGAATTACTTGTATGCTTTGGGTCATTGTCCTGTTGCATCACCCATCCTCTGCGGAGCTTCAGTTGGCGGGACAGATGGTCGTACGTTTCCCTGCAAAATGTCTTGATAAACTCTGGAATTCATTTTCCCATCAATGACAACAATCCGTCCAGGCCCTGAGGCAGCAAAGCAGCCCCAAACCATGATGCTCCCTCCGCCATGTTTCACAGTGGGAATGAGGTTTTGATGTTGGTGTGCTGTGCCTTTTTTTCTCCACACATAGTGTTGTGTGTTCTTCCCAAACAACTCAATCTTGGTTTCATCTGTCCACAGTATATTCTGCCAGTAGTGCTGTGGAACATCCAGGTGTTCTTTTGCAAACTTCAAACGTGCGTAATATTCTTTTTGGACAGCAATGGCTTCCTCCGTGGTGTCCTCCCATGTACTCCATTCTTGTTTAATGTTTTCCTTATTGTAGATGTGTCAACAAAAATGTTAGCATGTGCCAGAGATTTCTGTAGGTCTTTAGCTGACACTCTGGGATTCTTCTTTACCTCATGCAGCATTCTGCGCTGTGCTCTTGCAGCCATTTTTACAGGACGACTACGCCTAGGGAGAGTAGCAACAGTGCTAAACTTTCTCCATTTGTAGACAGTCTGTCTTACCGTGGACACATGAACATCAAGGCTTTTGGAGATACTTTTGTAACCCTTTCCAGCTTCATGCAAGTCAACAATTCTTGATGGTAGGTCTTCTGAGAGCTCTTTTCTGCGAGGCATGGTTCACATCAGACAGTGCTTCTTGAAACCAGTAAACCCAAAACAGGTGTGTGTTTTTTAAGGGCAGGACAGCTGTCAGCAACACATCCAATACCATCACACTGATTGGAGTCAAGGTTGGCTCACTCCTGGCTCCAATTAGCTCTGGGAGAAGTCATTAAGCTAGGGCCTCACATACTTTTTCCTCCCTGCACTGTGAATGTTTACATGTTATGTGCAATTAAACCATGGCAACATCTAATGTTTGTGTAGTATTATGTTCAGCAGACTGTGTTCTTCTATTGTTGTGACTTAGATGACGTTCAGAGCACATTTTATGCCCAATTCATGCAAAACTCCACGTAATCCCAAGGGGTTCACATACTTTTTCTTGCAACTGTAATTTTTCTCCTTCACTGATGTTCGTTGATGAGGCTGCACTAATAGGCAGCACTGATGGGCGCTTATAGGCGGCACTGATGGGCACTGATGAGGTGGCATGGATAGACAGCACTGATGGGCATTGATAGGAGGCACTGATAGGCAGCACTGATAGGCAGCACTGACGGCCAGCACTGATGGGTGGCATTGATGGGCACAGGTGGGTGGCACTGCTAGGCACAGGTGAGTTTCACTGCTGGCTGGAACTTTTGGGCACAGGTGGGTGGCGCTGCTGGGCACAGATGGTTGGCGCTGCTGGGCACAGGTGAGTGGCACTGCTGGGTGGCACTGCTGGGCACAGGTGGGTGGCACTGCAGGGCACAGGTGGGTGGTACTACTAGGCACAGGTGGGTGGCACCACTGGGTGGCACTGCAGGGCACAGGTGGGTGGTACTGCAGGGCACAGGTGGGCGGCACTGATGGGTACAGGTGGGCGGCACTGATGGGCACAGGTGGGTGGCACTGATGGGCACTGATCATCGGCAGGGCCAGGTGCGCGATGCTGGGGGCACACAGGGGGAGTGTTCTGGAATAACATCCATGGACATCATCCCAGAACCAGACAACCGCTGTAGCCATCCTTCGGATATAGCGCGGTTGGGAACTGGTTAAAGGGGCAGTCATTTTTCAATGCTTAAAGTAAAAAAAAAGAAAAAGTAAAATTCCTTTAACTATCATGCCTGAGGGGCCCCTTTAAACTACCTGCAAAGTCGCACATCTGTACAATGAATAGAACCTGCTGCAGCAGGACTGACACACCCGCCCCCCAAAAATGGGGGGAAAAGTCTGGGAATTATTACCAGACCCTTGATCCGAACACAGGCCTGCAGGTCAGGAAAGGGGGGGGGGGATGAATGAGCCTACCAGGCCACAAGACATCAGCATTGGGATGGTTTCCCCATGCCGATGGGGACTAGGGCCGTCTTACCCCCATAAACCATGGCCCGATGGTTGTGGGGGTCTGCAGGCAGGGGAGCTCATTAGCATTAGGGTACCCCTTTGAATAAGGGGGCACCCTGATGCCCCCCTTGTGAATGAGTAAGGAGTACTTGTACCCATACCCATTCATTAAGGATTAAATTCAGTAAAAAAAAAAGACGCCAGACGTTTGAAAAAATCCTTTATTGAAAAAAAAGGCAAAAAATGGTTCAATTGTTGTAATCCGTCGTCAATCACGGCATCCAGCGTTGTCACACACCGCCGACTCGCCGAAATAACGCCCTCTGACCCGTCCACACCCGCTGAGCACTCACCGCAATCTGACATTTGCCGGTCAGATGTAAACACTTTGGCGGAGCTAGCGGTGACATCACTGCTAGCTCCACCCAATTGTGCTGTGATTGGCCAAAGCATTTCACCTGACCTGCGGTTATCAGTGGGAAGAATGTTCCTTACATTGGGGGTCAGTGGGAAGAATGCTCCTTACATTGGTGGTCAGTGGGAAGAATGCTCCTTACATTGGTGGTCAGTGGGAAGAATGTCCCTTACATTGGGGGTCAGTGGGAAGAATGTCCCTTACATTGGTGATCAGTGGAAGAATGTCCCTTACATTGGGGGTCAGTGGGAAGAATGTCCCTTACATTTGGGGTCAGTGGGAAGAATGTCCCTTACATTGGTGGTCAGTGGGAAGAATGCCTATTACATTGGGGGTCAGTGAGAAGAATGTCCCTTACATTGGGGGTCAGTGGAAAGAATGTCCCTTACATTGGGGGTCAGTGGGAAGAATGTCCCTTACATTGGTGGTCAGTGGGAAGAATGTCCCTTACATTGGTGGTCAGTGGGAAGAATGCCTATTACATTGGGGGTCAGTGAGAAGAATGTCCCTTACATTGGGGGTCAGTGGAAAGAATGTCCCTTACATTGGGGGTCAGTGAGAAGAATGTACCTTACATTGGTGGTCAGTGGGAAGAATGTCCCTTACATTGGTGATCAGTGGGAAGAATGTCCCTTACATTGGTGGTCAGTGAGAAGAATGCTCCTTACATTGGGGGTCAGTGGAAAGAATGCCCCTTACATTGGTGATCAGTGGGAAGAATGCCCCTTACATTGGGGGTCAGTGGGAAGAGTGTCCCTTACATTGGGGGTCAGTGAGAAGAATGTACCTTACATTGGTGATCAGTGGGAAGAATGTCCCTTACATTGGTGGTCAGTGAGAAGAATGTCTCTTACATTGGGGGTCAGTGGGAAGAATGTCTCTTACATTGGGGGTCAGTGGAAAGAATGCCCCTTACATTGGGGGTCAGTGGGAAGAATGTCCCTTACATTGGTGGTCAGTGGGAAGAATGTCCCTTACATTGGGGGTCAGTGGGAAGAATGTACCTTACATTGGTGATCAGTGGGAAGAATGTCCCTTACATTGGGGGTCAGTGGGAGAAGAATGTCTCTTACATTGGGGGTCAGTGGGAAGAATGTCCCTTACATTTGTGGTCAGTGGGAAGAATGTCCCTTACATTGGGGATCAGTGCAAAGAATGTCCCTTACATTGGGGGTCAGTGGGAAGAATGTCCCTTACATTGGAGGTCAGTGGGAAGAATGTCCCTTACATTGGGGGTCAGTGGGAAGAATGTCCCTTACATTGGAGGTCAGTGGGAAGAATGTCCCTTACATTGGTGATCGGTGGGAAGAATGTCCCTTACATTGGTGATCAGTGGGAAGAATGTCCCTTACATTGGGGTCAGTGTGGAGAAGAATGTCCCTTACATTGGGGGTCAGTGGGAAGAATGTCCCTTACATTTGTGGTCAGTGGGAAGAATGTCCCTTACATTGGGGATCAGTGGGAAGAATGTCCCTTACATTGGGGGTCAGTGGGAAGAATGTCCCTTACATTGGGGATCAGTAGGAAGAATGTCCCTTACATTGGGGATCAGTGGGAAGAATGTCCCTTACATTGGAGGTCAGTGGGAAGAATGTCCCTTACATTGGGGATCAGTGGGAAGAATGTCCCTTACATTGGTGATCAGTGGGAAGAATGTCCCTTACATTGGGGGGTCAGTGGGAAGAATGTCCCTTACATTGGGGGTCAGTGGGAAGAATGTCCCTTACATTGGTGATCAGTGGGAAGAATGTCCCTTACATTGGTGGATCAGTGGAAAGAATGTCCCTTACATTGGGGGTTAGTGGGAAGAATGTCCCTTACATTGGTGATCAGTGGGAAGAATGTCCCTTACATTGGTGATCAGTGGAAAGAATGTCCCTTACATTGGGGGTCAGTGGGAAGAATGCTCCTTACATTGGGGGTCAGTGGGAAGAATGTCCCTTACATTGGTGATCAGTGGGAAGAATGTCCCTTACATTGGGGATTAGTGGGAAGAATGTCCCTTACATTGGGGGTCAGTGGGAAGAATGTTCCTTACATTGGGGGTCAGTGAGAAGAATGTCTCTTACATTGGGGGTCAGTGGGAAGAATGTCCCTTACATTTGTGGTCAGTGGGAAGAATGTCCCTTACATTGGGGATCAGTGGGAAGAATGTCCCTTACATTGGGGGTCAGTGGGAAGAATGCCCCTTACATTGGGGATCAGTAGGAAGAATGTCCCTTACATTGGGGGTCAGTGGGAAGAATGTCCCTTACATTGGGGATCAGTGGGAAGAATGTCCCTTACATTGGGGGTCAGTGGGAAGAATGCCCCTTACATTGGGGTCAGTGGGAAGAATGTCCCTTACATTGGAGGTCAGTGGGAAGAATGTCCCTTACATTGGTGATCAGTGGGAAGAATGTCCCTTACATTGGGGGTCAGTGGGAAGAATGTCCCTTACATTGGGGGTCAGTGAGAAGAATGTCCCTTACATTGGTGATCAGTGGGAAGAATGTCCCTTACATTGGGGGTCAGTGGGAAGAATGCTCCTTACATTGGGGGTCAGTGGAAGAATGTCCCTTACATTGGTGATCAGTGGGAAGAATGTCCCTTACATTGGGGGTTAGTGGGAAGAATGTCCCTTACATTGGTGATCAGTGGGAAGAATGCCCCTTACATTGGGGGTCAGTGAGAAGAATGTCTCCTTACATTGGTGATCAGTGGGAAGAATGTCCCTTACATTGGGGGTTAGTGTGGAAGAATGTCCCTTACATTGGTGGTCAGTGGGAAGAATGTCCTTACATTGGGGGTCAGTGGGAAGAATGTCCCTTACATTGGTGATCAGTGGGAAGAATGTCCCTTACATTGGTGGTCAGTGGGAAGAATGTCCCTTACATTGGTGATCAGTGGGAAGAATGTCCCTTACATTGGGGGTCAGTGGGAAGAATGTCCCTTACATTGGTGATCAGTGGGAAGAATGTCCCTTACATTGGTGATCAGTGGGAAGAATGTCCCTTACATTGGGGGTCAGTGGGAAGAATGTCCCTTACATTGGTGGTCAGTGGGAAGAATGTCCCTTACATTGGGGGTCAGAGGGAGGAAGAATGCCCCTTACATTGGGGGTCAGTGGGAAGAATGTCCCTTACATTGGGGGTCAGTGGGAAGAATGTACCCTTACATTGGGGGTCAGTGGGAAGAATGTCCTCTTACATTGGTGGTCAGTGGGAAGAATGTCCCTTACATTGGGGGTCAGTGGGAAGAATGTCCCTTACATTGGGGGTCAGTGGGAAGAATGTCCTTACATTGGGGGTCAGTGGGAAAGAATGTCCCTACATTGGGGGTCAGTGGAAAGAATGTCTCTTACATTGGGGGTCAGTGGGAAGAATGTCCCTTACATTGGTGGTCAGTGGGAAGAATGTCCCTTACATTGGGGGTCAGTGGGAAGAATGTCCCTTACATTGGGGGTCAGTGGGAAGAATGTCCCTTACATTGGGGGTCAGTGGGAAGAATGTCCCTTACATTGGGGGTCAGTGGGAAGAATGTCCCTTACATTGGTGGTCAGTGGGAAGAATGTCCCTTACATTGGGGGTCAGTGGGAAGAATGTCCCTTACATTGGGGGTCAGTGGGAAGAATGTCCCTTACATTGGGGGTCAGTGGGAAGAATGTCCCTTACATTGGGGGTCAGTGGGAAAGAATGTCTCTTACATTGGTGGTCAGTGGGAAGAATGTCCCTTCCATTGGTGGTCAGTGGGAAGAATGTCTTACATTGGGGGTCAGTGGGAAAGAATGTCTCTTACATTGGGGGTCAGTGGGAAGAATGTCCCTTACATTGGGGGTCAGTGGGAAGAATGTCCCTTACATTGGTGGTCAGTGGGAAGAATGCCTATTACATTGGGGGTCAGTGGGAAAGAATGTCCCTTACATTGGTGATCAGTGGGAAGAATGTCCCTTACATTGGTGATCAGTGGGAAGAATGTCCCTTACATTGGTGGTCAGTGGGAAGAATGTCCCTTACATTGGGTGATCAGTGGGAAGAATGTCCCTTACATTGGGGGTCAGTGGGAAGAATGTCCCTTACATTGGTGATCAGTGGGAAGAATGTCCCTTACATTGGTGATCAGTGGGAAGAATGTCCCTTACATTGGTGGTCAGTGGGAAGAATGTCCCTTACATTGGGGGTCAGTGGGAAGAATGTCCCCTTACATTGGGGGTCAGTGGGAAGAATGTCCCTTACATTGGGGGTCAGTGGAAAGAATGTCTCTTACATTGGTGGTCAGTGGGAAGAATGTCCCTTACATTGGGGGTCAGTGGGAAAGAATGTCCCTTACATTGGGGGTCAGTGGGAAGAATGTCCCTTACATTGGGGGTCAGTGGGAAGAATGTCCCTTACATTGGTGTTCAGTGGGAAGAATGTCCTATTACATTGGGGGTCAGTGAGAAGAATGTCCCTTACATTGGTGATCAGTGGGAAGAATGTCCCTTACATTGGTGATCAGTGGGGAAGAATGTCCCTTACATTGGTGGTCAGTGGGAAGAATGTCCCCTTACATTGGTGGTCAGTGGGAAGAATGTCCCTTACATTGGTGATCAGTGGGAAGAATGTCCCTTACATTGGTGATCAGTGGGAAGAATGTCCCTTACATTGGGGTGATCAGTGGGAAGAATGTCCCTTACATTGGTGATCAGTGGGAAGAATGTCCCTTACATTGGAGGTCAGTGGGAAGAATGTCCCTTACATTGGTGGTCAGTGGGAAGAATGTCCCTTACATTGGTGATCAGCGGGAAGAATGTCCCTTACATTGGTGATCAGTGGGAAGAATGTCCCTTACATTGGGGGTCAGTGGGAAGAATGCCCCTTACATTGGAGGTCAGTGGGAAGAATGTCCCTTACATTGGTGATCAGTGGGAAGAATGTCCCTTACATTGGTGATTAGTGGGAAGAATGTCCCTTACATTGGTGGTCAGTGGGAAGAATGTCCCTTACATTGGGGGTCAGTGGGGAAGAATGTCTCTTACATTGGGGGTCAGTGGGAAGAATGTCCCTTACATTGGGGGTCAGTGGAAAGAATGTCCCTTACATTGGTGGTCAGTGGGAAGAATACCCTTACATTGGTGATCAGCGGGAAGAATGTCCCTTACATTGGTGATCAGTGGGAAGAATGTCCCTTACATTGGTGGTCAGTGGGAAAAATGTCCCTTACATTGGTGATCAGTGGGAAGAATGTCCCTTACATTGGGGGTCAGTGGGAAGAATGTCCCTTACATTGGTGGTCAGTGGGAAGAATGTCCCTTACATTGGTGATCAGTGGGAAGAATGTCCCTTACATTGGGGGTCAGTGGGAAGAATGTCCCTTACATTGGTGATCAGTGGGAAGAATGTCCCTTACATTGGTGATCAGTGGGAAGAATGTCCCTTACATTGGTGGTCAGTGGGAAGAATGTCCCTTACATTGGGGGTCAGTGGGAAGAATGTCCCCTTACATTGGGGGTCAGTGGGAAGAATGTCCCTTACAGGGGGGTCAGTGGGAAGAATGTACCTTACATTGGGGGTCAGTGGAAAGAATGTCTCTTACATTGGTGGTCAGTGGGAAGAATGTCCCTTACATTGGGGGTCAGTGGAAAGAATGTCTCTTACATTGGGGGTCAGTGGGAAGAATGTCCCTTACATTGGGGGTCAGTGGAAAGAATGTCCCTTACATTGGTGTTCAGTGGGAAGAATGCCTATTACATTGGGGGTCAGTGGGAAGAATGTCCCTTACATTGGTGATCAGTGGGAAGAATGTCCCTTACCTTGGTGATCAGCGGGAAGAATGTCCCTTACATTGGTGATCAGTGGGAAGAATGTCCCTTACATTGGTGATCAGCGGGAAGAATGTCCCTTACATTGGTGGTCAGTGGGAAGAATGCCCCTTACATTGGTGGTCAGTGGGAACAATGTCCCTTACATTGGAGGTCAGCGGGAAGAATGTCCCTTACATTGGTGATCAGTGGGAAGAATGTCCCTTACATTGGGGGTCAGTGGGAAGAATGTCCCTTACATTGGAGGTCAGTGGGAAGAATGTCCCTTACATTGGTGGTCAGTGGGAAGAATGTCCCTTACATTGGTGGTCAGTGGGAAGAATGTCCCTTACATTGGTGATCAGCGGGAAGAATGTCCCTTACATTGGTGATCAGTGGGAAGAATGTCCCTTACATTGGGGGTCAGTGGGAAGAATGCCCCTTACATTGGAGGTCAGTGGGAAGAATGTCCCTTACATTGGTGGTCAGTGGGAAGAATGTCCCTTACATTGGTGATCAGTGGGAAGAATGTCCCTTACATTGGTGATCAGTGGGAAGAATGTCCCTTACATTGGTGGTCAGTGGGAAGAATGTTCCTTACATTGGGGGTCAGTGGGAAGAATGTCCCTTACATTGGTGATCAGTGGGAAGAATGTCCCTTACATTGGTGGTCAGTGGGAAGAATGTCCCTTACATTGGGGGTCAGTGGGAAGAATGTCCCTTACATTGGTGATCAGTGGGAAGAATGTCCCTTACATTGGGGGTCAGTGGGAAGAATGTCCCTTACATTGGTGGTCAGTGGGACGAATGTCCCTTACATTGGGGGTCAGTGGGAACAATGTTGCCTACATTGGTGTTCAAAGAACCCCTAGCAACCTCCGGAGGTCCCACACCCACAGACCATGGCTGCCTTAATGACCCCAAAAGTATAACTGAGCCTCCTTGCTGGTCACACAGATCTCCACCATCGGGGGGGTGCTGTGGTAGCATCATGCTGGACCTCCATTGTCTTTCCTCAGCACTGATGAGGGCGGTCAGGAGATACATGTGGTGTCATATATTGCTGAAGGTTCATCAGAGCATCTCCCTCCCTCCACTTCTGTCATTATAACACTTCAAACCATTCATTTATTGCTTTTCTCGGGAGGATAATGAGCTGTGAGATGCGGGCACGGCGATGCAGAGCAGCAGTTTGATCTCTCCGCTGTTCTGCGTCATTGTCTTTTATTGCAGAATATCTGGAAATGGATCTGAAATGGGATTTATGAAGCCGAGAAAAGAAAAAGTCAAGCATGAAGGGTTTATCGTGAAGCCCAGACAGTATTTATATAGGATTTGGGGCAGACAGCACACTACCTGCAGGAAGCACTTAAAGCATCACTCCACCCAAAATTGATATTTCAGGGGTGGTTGCTTAAAGGTTAAACTGCCTAACCCGTTGCCGCCATCCTTACACATATATGTGACAGCGTGGAGTTGGCCTTTATTCTGTGCTGTCTAATGTGTGTGCTCAGTCATGAACTCCCAGCACCGTGACTGCACTGTCACCAACAGCTTCCTGTCACGTGGTGATGATCAGGAGTCGGTCGGAAAGGTAGCTGGTCACCTACCCCACCCCCCAGACTGTGATTGGACTGTGAAGGAACAGCAGCAGACTTATGAGCTCATCCCTCTGCTCTCTCCTCCAGTCAGCATGTTCCCGTTAAGCATATGAAGAGAGATATGATATCAGCAAGTCTATCTTACCTTTGCAGTGTCGATGTACAGAACCCGAGCCAGAGCCTCACACAGGACCTCTGTGTTCCTCCTGAGCCGTTTCATGTCCACCCGAGGCCTGCCACATATCAGAAGGAAAGAATGATCTACTGCATTTGTATACACTTATTGCCAGAATATGGTGGGCACCTGACCATCACACCTACCTACACTATATTGCCAAATGTATTGGGCCTGCCCTCCAAATCATTGGATTCAGCTGTTCCAATCCCCTCCCAATCATGTGATTCTGGAGTTCCAATCCCCTCCATATCATGTGATTCAGGTGTTCCAATCCCCTCCATATCATGTGATTCAGGTGTTCCAATCCCCTCCATGGACACAGGTGTATACAATCAAGCCCCTAGGCATGCAGACGGCTTCTACAAACATTGGTGAAAGAATGGGTCGCTCTCAGGAGCTCAGTGACTCCAAGCGTGGTCCCGTGATAGGTGGTCACCTGGGCAATAAGTCCATCCGTGACATTTCCTGGCTACTAAATATTCCACGCTCAACTGTTAGTGGGATTATAACAAAGTGGAAGCAACTGGGAACAACAGAAACTCAGCCACCAAGTGGTAGGCCACGTCACATGACAGGGCGGGGGGTCAGCGCATGCTGAAGCGCACAGTGCGCAGAAGTCGCCAACTGTCTGCAGAGTCAATAGCTAAAGACCTCCAAACTTGGTGTGGCCTTCAGATAAGCACAACAACAGTGCATGGGGGCTTCATGGAATGGGTTTCCATGGGCGAGCAGCTGCATCATCCAAGCTTTACATCACCAAGTGCAATGCAAAGCATTTGATGCCGTGGTGTAAAGCACGCCGCCACTGGACTCTAGAGCCGTGAAGACGTGACCAATCACGCTTCTTTGTCTGGCAAGCCGATGGACATGTCTGGGTTTGGCGGTTGCCAGGAGAACAGTACTTGCCTGACTGCATTGGTCCAAGTGTAAAATTTGGTGGCGGTGGGATTATGGTGTGGGGTTGTTTTTCAGGGGTTGGGCTTGGCCCCCTAGTTCCGGTGAAGGGAACTCTTAAGGTGACATTTTGGACAATTTCATGCCCCCAACTTTGTGGGAAGAGTTTGGGGATGGCCCCATCCTGTTCCAACATGACTGCCCACCAGTGCACAAAGCAAGGTCCATAAAGACATGGAGGAGCCAGTTTGGGGTGGAGGAACTTGACTGACCTGCACAGAGTCCTGACCTCAACCCCATAGAACACCTTTGGGATGAATTAGAGTGGAGACTGCGAGCCAGGCCTCTCCTCCCCCGACATCAGTGCCTGACCTGACAAATGTGCTTCTGGAAGAATGGTCCAACCTTCCCATAGACACCCTCCTAAACCTTGTGGACGGCCTTCTCAGAAGAGTTGAAGCTGTTATAGCTGCAAAGGGCGGGGCCAACTCAGTATTGAACCCTACGGACTAAGACTGGGGGGCCATTAAAGGTCATGTGCGTGGAAAGGG